AAATCACTCATCATCTGTGTTGTGTTTCATTTCTAGCATTTCTATTTATAGTTTCTCTTTGCTGAAATCACCCATAAGATCTTGGGTGATCTTTTCCATAACGTGTTAGCCATAGTTATTTTAAATTCTCTGTTCCTAAACCTTTGTCATAAGAGTCTGGTTGTTTGGGGGTTTTTTTCAGAGTTGTGTATTTTTTCTTTGACATCTAGTTGTTATTACAACATAGTGATTGCAACATCTGTATATAGTACGCTATGCTCCCAAGTGACAGTACCATCTGTCACCATAAAATGCTATTACACTACCACTGATTGTATTCCTTTATGCTGTACCTTTTATCCCTGTGACTTACTCCGTAACTGGAAGCCTGTATCTCCCAATCCCCTTTATCCATGTCCCTACGACCCTCTCTTCTGGCAGCCATCAGTTCTGTTACGGGTAGTTACGGGTCTGTTTCTACTTCTTATTTTTTAGGAGATGATTTTTTGGTTTCAGGTCTCACATTTAGGTATGTCATCCATTTTATTTTTCTGTATCATGTAAAGTGTGTGGTCCAGTTTTCCTACCACCATTTATTAAAGAGACTGACTTTTCCCTCTTGTGTACTTTTACCCTTTGTCATAGATTGACCTTGTGGGTTTCTGGGCTCTCTCTATTCTGTTCGGCTGATCACTAGGTCTCTTTTTGTGCTGGTACCCTACTCTTTTGATTACAGATATTGAAATCTGCGATCGTGATACTTTGTGTTCTTGTTTCTCAAGATTGCTTTGTCGTATTAAGGGAGTTGGTTCTGGTGATTTCTTCAGTCTTCAGAACACACTTTTTGTTTTCATATGGCTTTATATATTTTGTTGAAAGTGACACATCTTGTGTAGGGCAGTAGATCGTTTGGTGAATTGTTTTTACACCTGCAGATGGCAGGCCTTTCCTCCCGCTGAGACCTGTATTGCAGGGTCTTAATTAATCTAGGTTAGGAGTTACGCGTGGTTTGAGGTTCATCATTACTATAATTAACCTTAGGACTAAGTAAATTATCTTTCCTTTGAATAAAAAGACAAATGACGTGTGGTTTAAATTGCTGGGTTTTATTAAGGTATTGGCAAAATTTCAACATACATCTTACCTGAATAAACAGTTTTAATAAATAATATGAAGGACCACTCATGATTACAACTTAACTCAAAAGTGAGCTGTAGAGCAGGTCTGTAAATTGATAAATTTACTTGGTAAGAAATGATTCACTTCATTTGCTTCACTCCATAGAGAATTCTTTGCAGAGAAATGTCATGAACAAGGGAACAAAGCCTATCTCTCACCAAAGAGCACCTAGAGTAAGAGTTAACAATGATGTATCTGTGGGTTATCTAATACATCAGAGTTTATTAGAGTATTTCCTTTTCCAGAACAACTGCTGTGTCAGTCTGGAGTTCCCTGTCTTACTTGCTTTTTCCTAATTAGTACAATAAATAGTCTTCAAAATAGAAAATTAAATGCTGCTAGATGAAGTAATTATTTTGCAATACAGTACCATTCGTCTGGAAAATAGTCATGTGATAATACTGGCGGTATCTTACTTTGGAAAGAAAGACATTTAAGCTATTCACAGGTCAGAACAGAAGAGTGGGTAATTTGTCCATTAATATGACATGATTTTAAAAGGTAAAAACAAGTATGTTCTTTTGCTAATTTATGACTCAAAGAAAAATTGTTTGAAATGATGATGTGACCTAAGCTATAGTATCCCCCTTTATGGCCTTGCGTAGGCAAGAACGGTCGAGTGAATAAATTATATTTAAACACTAAAATAATTTACAGGTCACTTTCTCACAAAACCTTGGCAAGGCTTTGATGGGGAAGGAAATTCTTGAACCACAGCAGTTTTATCTGTAAATACTGAACTTTACGCATCCTTTTCATCTGCCCATCAGATGTTGCATTTCTTACTGGCACAGTGTTCCAACAATGGAGTATGGTTGTTGTGAAGATGTGGCGTGACACTATACCACCACATTGACATTATACCACTATAAATGTGGTCAGAATCAGACTCGGTGTTGACACTGACATTGTTGACATTGTCCTTGGAAAAGGTGTTACTTTCAAGGATCCTCCTAGTTAACTTAAATGCAACAGGAACTTTAATCTTATGAATTCAAGGACAGTGGATGGCACTTCTAGGTAAAGAAAAGGTATATACATATGTGTTTCCACCATCCTCTTTAGCACAGATGTAAGTGGGATTAATTGCCCCAGTGTTTGGTGCTGTAATGTTGCTAAACCTCAGATATCCCTCAAAAGTACACATCTAGAAAGTGAACAAAGGAAACCTTTAAGTTAGGGACTGATTCCCTTTGAAACTCACAGTGAATGTACAAGGAGTTTGTAATGACTTCATTTGGTAACTTGAAGTCTGTTTCCCTAACAAGTACTACACTTTCTTGTTTGTATTTGTTTTACTATTTCCTATTCTAACAACACTGTAGCAGGCAAACAAATTGATGCAGATCATGTTAAATTGAAAAAGGGATGCCATCACTCTTAAGGATTGAGTGTAGGATTTTCACCACCACAATTACACAATTAGTAAAAGTACGAAACACGTAATTCACAGACTATTACCTCAGCATTAACAGTTAATATATATTATATACTTTTATACTGTCTAATATTTTTACAATCACCAGATACACCATCATTAAATACAAATTACAGAATGTGTAGATACCATTAGTTAGAGGGGTACTTATTGCTTACATTAGCAAGCAGCAAATAAGGGCACAGGATTTGAACTGAAGGGAACTACTTTCTATCACCAGTGGCATTAAGATATAACACTGCATTTCACAAAGCACTGCTTTTTACCTAGTTTATAGAACCAAGAGCAGCATATATCATACCAATAACCACTACTTTAATATTATAGAATTTTAAAGGACTTACCTTACAAGTGGTACCTAACTACTCTATAAATATGCATGTTGTGAACAAATGAATAGTTGCTATTTTTCACAATATTGGTTTATAAGTTGACCACACTATAGAACTACTTTGCTTTATTTTCTAGAGGGCTACTGGTATGAAAAATGGAATTAACACTGCTTATATAGTCAGATCTACAGAATTCAGACCCTTAAAGATGTGGTCTGTATTCATCTGAGTTTCATCCAACCATTTTCCCCACTGGAAGAAACCTATCATTTGTATCTTTCCTTTCACCTTCTGATCAAAAACAGTAGCAATGGACAACTATAGAAAATCTTCAAAAATTTTAATTTAGGTAAGTGCTTTGGATTGTGATATGTACCGATATTCTGCCTATTTTCTTGTTTCCTTAGATAATTTGATCTGAAACTGACACTGCACCTGATGGGCTGTTAACAAGATCTAGGCTTCAGAAAATGACAGATGTGAGTGAGGTCCGTGTATGGGGGTCAAACATCAGGTTGGTGAAAAGATTCTGGTGAAAAGAGCCACGTTTATTCCCTCCTCAGCCACATGTCACAGGACTTGAGAAAAAGAATAAATGACTTCAAAATCAAGAGAAATACTGAAAATCTCCACTTATATCCAAATTGTTAAAAATAAAATCTACAGATTAATCTGATCTTTGAAGTTTTTGTGTATTTGCTATAGCTATACTGGCTTCCAGAATATGCTACCGTCCTTTGTTTTTAAAGTCTAGGAATCGGAGTTTCCATTTTGGGTCCATTTGGGGAACATAAAGCAATTGTATTATTTTGTAAAAACACAGGCAGTGGACATTTCTCGGCAAGAGCATTTGGTGCCCCCCAGTGGTGTGAGTGAGGGGACAGCTTTTATCCATTGGCATGGCTGGTCCACAGTTGACTAGGGGAGGAAAAGAGGTCATGTAGTGATACTCAAGATTCTCAAGAGAATCAGAGGCTGCTTTGCTGACTGAATCTGATTACTAGTTTTTCTGCTGTTGTTAGTTGAAGATCTGCTTCTAGCTTGAAACTACAGAAATGGCAAAAAGCAGACAACTTCAAATTATCAAATGTAAGTAACTATTGAAATGAGAAAGAGTCCTCTCTGCCGTCTGAAGCTGCCTGTAGCAGGACTGGAGCTTTCTCCATTCATAACTAAATAGACCCCAGTCTCCTTTTACCTGCCTTCTCCTTTGCACTTGGCCTCTGGGCTCACTTTAGGCAGTACTTTCAACCTTTTTCACACCAGTTACTTCATTCCCTTGGGGGAAACAATGTTAGAGAACTTAAAACCATATTTTTCATTCTCCAAAACCACTTTTTATTTTGTAGTAGTATATGCCCTTGCTGTCTGTGAACTTAGAAATACTATTTGATTTTTCCTTTTTAAATGGCAACTTGATTCTAGTATATTTGTACCTGACATCATCTCCATTAAGCCAGTTTTATTCCTGAGATGAAGGTACAGTGAAAAATATCATAGCATCATAGGTTAAAACCAGTTGACAGCGGTCTTCTAAAATGACAAATAATAAAAATCCCGCCCAAAGCACCATAACAGGTTATGAAACTCCCAAATAGCTACACAGCCCTAGGAAGTACTTTTTAATTCAGAAAATTTTTATAATCTTTTATGTTACAGGAAAAAAAAATTAGTAAATCTTTTTGACTATATACCACCTCACAAGTCAGAAAATAATGACACTTTCATACTAGTTTTCTACTTTCATTGTAACCAGTTAAAACCCATATGGCTTTTGGTCTTTTACCAACCCAAAAAAGAGGGGGAGGGTTTTCCTCACAGTCCCCAGTCTTTTGAGGAACATCCCCCAACTACATCTGATTCTGCATTAAGTTTTCCATAGATACGTTAGGCACATCAAACCAGATTTCACCTGCATTGAGATTGACACTAGATAGCCTGACTAAAATAACGAACTCACAAGCTTCCACTAGTGATGTGAAGGGATAGTAAAGTGGGGGTCATATGTAGGTGTGGAGACACATCACAGGGACCAGTTGTGTAATTTTGCTAGTGAAACCGCCAATACTTTTTTTTTTTTTTTTGATTTAAAACACTACTTTGAGGTTCCTAGAGATCTATTTACATTTAAGAATTGAGCCATCCATGGTTTCATAATGAAGCACATATATTTCAGAAATGTCTACCTTGTTTCTACTCTGATAGTGGTGTTTTTATTGGGGGAGAGCTAGCTGGCCTACTCGAACGAGGAGGGTTATATTTTATAGCTCCAGGGGACACCTGGCTCTGGAATATCATTACTCTTGCTGAGCTTCCTCATGTTTGCACTAGGTCCTTTCCAAATATTTTGCCTCCACGGCAGAAAACTTCTGAACATCCTAGTTCTCTTCCCACTTCGAATAAGTGAGGACAGACTAGTGCCTATTTTGTGGGAAGGCTCTTGAGCAGACATAAATGAATACAACTTTGGGTTAAACCTGAATCCGTGCCGTCTCTTTGAATAACGACAGCGTAAATGAGACAATCTGGAAACTCTCTTTTCCAGGAATTTGAATTGTTCATCTTCCAACCTAGGACAGACAGGAGACAAGCTCTCCATTCTGTATATCTGCTGCCCTGTTGAACCCAAATTAAAAGAGGGAAACTCTCCAGCACCACTCTGTTCAGGCAATGATGATTGAACTGATTTTTTTTCCATTATTAGCTCATTAATAGGATTTGCTTTCTTTGGTGCACCAGGACCAAACATCTCAATTGGTGGCAAAAACTGGGCACTGTGAGGTTTGCTTGCTTCTATTTGTGTGAGATCTAGGTAGCCCGGGTCTTCCAGCACGTTGATTTGGGACCCTGGGCTCAGGCTAGTTCTATCAGTGAATGAATCCACGCGCCCATCATAGCCTAGATCGGCTGGTGCTGAGCACTGGTGCTGTGGCCAAGGGCGTTTGCACTCTCCATGATTCTCCTTATCATCCCCACCATCTTCTTGCCCTCCTTGAAAAGAGTTCTCTGTCCAATCTGATTCCTCACTAACATTTACAGCTTTGTTCATGTCCCTCAGGAATACCACAATAACAGTGATATTATCACTTGACCCAGCATCACGAGCTGATGCAACTAATTTGTGGGCAACCATGCTACTGTCTCCATTATTCTCCTTCAGGTGGTCAGATACAACTTTCACTGCCTCATCAGGGTTCACGGTGTCATAGAAGCCATCACAGGCCAGAATGAGGTAGTCTTCAGTTCCATCCAAAACAGTAGAGGCAGAGTCTGCATCCCCACAGATATATGGCTTATGTTCAGCGTCTCCTGTGGGAATTGGAAAGGAGGTCAGATTTTGGTTTACCTTGCATGTGAAAATGTTTATGGCCAATGCTGTGATTGATCACAATTTACTGGCTTGTGATCTGAATTTATTGGAAAGAATTTATAAACTAGTTTCAGATAAAATGCTTGAATTCTTTGTTAATGAGATGCTGCTCACTCCTTACTCTTAAGTAACTGCCATTCACTGGGCTTAATTCCTCACTAGCTTATACTCTGCATCTTGTGCCTCTAGCTACGACTTGGGCTTAGCTGAGCATGGCAATAAATGTCAAATCTAAGTTTTTTGCTGTATTGAAAAATTCAGTGTTACATAGGAAAATTTTGTTGGTTAACAGATTTACTTTTTTTAACTAATAGTTAAGTTTGATTTGAGATTTGAGAACAAATCCATATTGAAAAAGTTGTGGTCATTCTGTTAATTAAATACTTAATTTTCTGTCCTTGCTTTCAAATTAATAGCTTTATGCTGCTAGCACAGAGAAAGGTTTGAGTTACAAGGGATCTTAAAAAATCAAGTCCAACTCCCGTCAAGCCAGGAAAAGTCATCCCAAGATTCAGACGAGAACTACAACGTTTAAGTCTCTTGGTTCCCAGTCCAGTTTGCTATCTACTTTTTAATGCTGCTTTACTGTAACTTCTAGAGAATAACTGGAAAATGTATGACCACATTTTTCTCCTCTTAGGGACTACCATATTTTTGGTGTCTTCATTTGTCTCTGATCAACGCTGCCCCCCTTCCTGCCCGCCACCGTCTTTATTGCTGTTGTTCATCCTCCACTTGTGAACAACTGTGAGAACTCCCAAGGCCCTACTGGGTCATTATTTCTCCTTTGTTTAGCTCATCCACTTATAGAATGACATTTGAGCTGGACCTTGAAGGATAAGTTAGTTAGCAGGCAGAGAAGGGCCCTCGGGTGAAGAAATAGCATTAAGCAAAGACACAGAGGCAACTGTTAAGGAGTGATGTGTAGCTATATATAGGATGCTTGGATTGGCGATAGAAACCTAGCCTAGTGTGGGCCTAAGGTCTCCCGTCTATCAACAGACTATGGAGAAAATGATCTCCAGTGGATCTTTCAGATGTGGAGCACTTCCAGATCCATTCACTCTACATTCATTGTTTTCCTTTGGACACTTGGAGAGAGCCTAGCCAAAGGATCCCTAGTCTATTAAGTAACCATATAGCTTAGTAGTATAAGGGATACTCATTTACTACTTTTTTACATAGAAAACAGCATTTAGCAATAATTCTTAGAGTACCATAATTGGGAAACAGTAGTTAAAATTTATAAAATGCTTTATCATTTGTAAAGTAATGACATATAGCTTAGTGGTTAAGGATGCCAGCCCTGGAGTCAGACTGCCTGGATCCAAATCCTAGCGTTGGTTTACTTGTAGGCCCTCATCAGTTACCGTCCTCTCTGGAATACTAAAATAGCTTTTGGACTATGGGATGATAAAATGAAGATAATTATACATAAATTATCTGGCTCTGTCATCACCACTTCTGGTATCTGTTGTAAGTTCTCTCTGACATTTCCCATCCCTGTTTAATCCTCCAGTAGGCCCCCAAAACTCAGTAGGCGCCCTGGAGATAACTGCTAGAACTGGTGTGGGCCATGTGCCCTATCCAGTAGGTTTCATGATGGGACACTCAGAACAACAGATAACTAGATAAGAAACTAGTCTTTTTTATACAGCTGCCAGAGCCATCTTCCCTCAAACATGGTTTTGAGTCCATCAGTTTCATACTTCAGCTCTCATTGGCTACTGGGAGGCATCAGTCAAAACTTCAATCATGAGATTCAGTGTTCTCCACCAATCAATCCACTTTACTAAATTTCCCCATCCCTTACTCCACCTGACTGTTATTACCATCATTATTATTTTCTGAATCCCAGCTCCGAAAATAAATGTGATCTGAGTCATACTGTTCCCGAAAATCTTGTTTTAGTGCTTCAATTAAAAGGCTACTGCAACTGTTTGGAACAGAACATACAAAGATTTGCACAGGGAAATCCTGCCAAAATTCTGGCTTTTCACCTGCTCTACTGTTGGATGTCAAATTCATGACATCTCGCCCCCAAATTTGGTAGGAAGGCATGATTATCCATTTCATGGTAGAAATGGCAGCATCCTTTCATCTTCAACCTCCTCTCTCCATATGCTAGCAAATGTATCATGCCTCTGTCAACTTGGAATCATCAATCTGAAGGGCTCATGAGGAGAAACAGTTGAAAAGCTTTTTCAGTTTGAAAGCTTTAAGTGTCACTTATTTTCTAAGTAGAGTTGAACTCTGCTCAGGAGTCCTTTTTCTTGTCTCTGGTTAGGTCCCGATTTTACTCTCACATTCTTCACCTCTCTTCCAATTAAGCTACTGGATTTTGGTAGATGACCTAATTTCCCGCTTCAAAGAAAATTAAGGTTATCAGGCCTAAATTCCCTCAATTCCTACCCCTCCCTTCTGTTTTAATCTAGAGAGACTCACTGCATCACCTACCATTTTGTCAGGAGGAGAGGTCTGCCCTTCCTTCTCAAAGCTGACCTGTGCTCTGGGACCTGACTCTCAAGGACTCTGGCTTCTGTTGCTCTCATCTCTAATTTCTTATACTTGCTCTCATCTTTTATCCTACAAACATACTCTGATCCAAACTCCTTATCTTAAAAACAAAAATAATAAATAAAAGTGACCCTTTCTTTCCCTAAGGCCACCACACTATTTCCTTTACCACTAAATTGCCCAAGAAACTAAATCTATACATGTTCTTTTGTGTTATTGGTCATTTTCTGTCACCTGATTTTTCTGGGTTTTTTTTCCACCTACTAATCCAAAACATTTCTCTCCTACATTACCAGTTAGTTTCCATTTTCAAAATTCCGTGTCTTTTTTAACCCACCTCTCACCTGACCTCTATAGCACTTGGCCCTGTGACCACTTACTCCTAGGAACCCTCTTCTCCTAGTATCTGTGAGAGCCCACTTGTTAGTCTCTGATCCCTTCTTGATTTTCATCACTGGCTCCTTCACTTACTAATAGTACTAATCATTATGTGCCAAACTGCCAGGCAGGGCTCTGAGTAGGGTGCATAGTGTACCATTTGTATACTGTGTGGTATACAGAAACTAGTAAGCCATTTAGTGTGAGTATTCCTGCTTTACCAAGGAACAGACAGGCACAAAGAAATTAATTTCCCAAGGCCCACAGCTTGTAAAGTGACAAAGCCAAGATTCAAACCTAGAGAGCATGACTTCATTGTGTATTTCTACCTTAAGTAATGAGTCTCATCCTTGGTGTCTAATCACACTACACTTTCTGGGCAATGCCATCCGAGCCTGTAATTTCAACTAATATATATAATATCACTTCACAGACTGCTAATATTATTGCCAAAATGGGATGAGTTCCCATATCTCTTATCTGCAACTCAGAATTCTGCTTATCTTCAGATGTGTATTTCTAGCTGCTTATCAATTCTCTCTCCTAAAATATCACACAGGTATCTAGGACGTAAAATCTGTCCAAAATGAACTCATCATCTACCCTCCTCCCCACCCCACAAACTGCTGTTACTTTTTTACAAATACTTTATCATTTTCCCGGTCACACAAGTCGAAAACCTGGAAATCCGCTTTCCTCCACCCCCACAAACTCACTTCTGTCTGATCAAGTTATACCACCTCTGTATCCCTGTTGAGCTGCCCCTCATCTCTAAGAACGGTGTCAACAGCACCTGAGTGATCTCATCTGAGCTTTCCACACTGTCCAGTCTCTTTTCTACCGTCATTACAAATACCTTATGAGTCTGATCATGCAGCATCTCTGCTCATTCACCCGGTAGAGTCTAAGAGTACTCAGAGCCTGGCACATAAGCCCCTTCACAGTCCGGCGCCAGCACTTACTTTGGTCACTCCTACCCTCTGCCCTAGCCCCTTGTCCATGCCACTGTTCCTAAAACATGGTGTCCCCTTTCAGATGCCCATGCATGGTACTCCCCTCCCCCTGGAATTTCCTCCCCTATACACTATCTTCCACATCCAACCTAAAAGCCACTTCCCCAATGGAGTCTGCTGCTTTCTCTCTTAGTCCTTCTCTTATTCAAGGACATGCTCCCCTTGCTTTTAGTTTCCCCGTGTGTTATATTTTTAGAAGCAAAAAAAGGCAAGTATGCTCTAGTAAAGCTGGTTCTATGACAAGCATTAAAGATACCTTTGTATACTCTGACAGAGACTATAAGATCAAGAGGAATTGTTAGAAATAATTCTGCATGGGGGTTGTGTTTCAGAAATGAGAAATTTCCCCTCTGGGATCTTAGTCCAGAGTTTGTAATAACTCTCAATCTGAGATAAAAACGAACCCTCATTTTTTCAGGATCTTTCAGCTTTCACTTTCTCAGCCTTCTGCTGCTCACATTTGGGCCACTTCACAGCTTGCCAGCACCTTCCCAAAGAGTGGGAGGAACTCCTATCACTGGTGAAACTGAATCAATCCTTTGAGATTTTGTTAATGTTCTGGAATATTTTGGTAACGATAAGCAAAATTGGGGGATTACATGTGAATTCCATTTATCCATATTATCCCTATGTCAAACTACTTCATTTAATTCCTTTAGGAGGCGAGAATGAAGAACTGTAGTATGCATGCATATCACGCGTAATGACACGCGCACTGATTTATGCTTTTAAAAAACGGAAAATGAAGCTAAGCCACAAAACCTAAAATATCATAAACCCAGGGGCCAAAGTGAAACAAAAATGGAAACAGGACTATCTTTGAACTTACACCCTTGCGTTCTGTCCAATCAGCTCAGCTGTTTACTCTCTTAAGTTTTAGATAGTTTCACTGACTTTCCCGTCTCTTGAAGAATTTAGGTCCCAGGGAGACAGATTGTTTGAAACCCTCGGGTTATCTGGCAAATCACTGTATTACCAGTTTAAAAAAAAAATTGTTTTCACCTAAAAAGCATAATGTTTATGTCATATTATAATTCAGTGAAAACAAAGATAGAAGCAAGGTAAAATATAGGGAGAGGAGCCTTCCATTCTCTTGAAAATACTGAATTGAATTAAGTTAAATATGATCCAAAATGGTGAAATGGAGATCACTGTAGTTTTAAGCAGATTTGTGTCCCAAAGATTAAAGGCTTCCATTTAAAAAAAAAAAAGAAGAGCAGTGCCTGGGTGGCTCAGTGGGTTAAGCCTCTGCCTTTGGTTCAGGTCATGATCTCAGGGTCCTGGGATCGAGCCCCGCATCGGGCTCTCTGCTCGGGCAGGGGGTTGTGGGCAGCCAGCTTCCCACCCCCTGCCGCCTGCCTTTTTGCCTACCTGTGATCTTTCTCTGTCAAATAAATAAATAAAATCTTAAAAAAAAAAAACTAATAAATTCTGTAATTCTTAATGTAGTTCCCTTTCAATAATGGAATTTAAGTATATAAATGAATAGGTAGATCAAATAATTAAAAGAGGCATTATCTAATTGTTACTTTAAACAATAATAAGCACTCTGATAATATAAATGACCATCTCAGGTTCCCATATGAGACAATGAACTAGAAGAGGACAGTTTGGAGAAACAAAAAGGAATTTGTTTTTCCTACCAATAGCTCTGGAGACCGACAGACTTCCATTCACCCTCCAGGCACCAAACCAGACTACACAACCTCCAAGAGCCTCAATTCGCTGCTTTTCATCCTAAACAGCAATGCAATAGAAAGAAGCAAATAATTGCATTCAGGATTTATTTATCTACCTTAACAGTAAACAACAGATAAAATACTCATCAGCTTCCGGAAAAGGTTCTCTATTACTCCTCTGTAAGGTGGGCATGGTTGCTCAGATAATGGTGGTAATCCTAATAAGCAAGTGAATCTTAATTAATAGCTAGAAACCCGCCTCTGTGGCGTGCGCCCTCCCAGAACAGAGCACACTTACCTCCCTGTCCGGTTTGTGTGGCTTCATTAGCTCAACAGCTTGCCCTTTTCTCACCAGCATGACCTGGGAATCCCCAACCCAGGCCACGTGGAGCATGTTCCCTCTGATGAAAGTCACCACTCCTGTGGTCCCACATCTTAGACTCTGAAAGTAATTGCATAAAACTAGAGTCAGTAAAAATAAACAGACTTCAAATTCTCATTGACAGGCGATTTGTAGTTAACACAAACTTTTGGGGGCTGACTATTAATAACTTGATTTCACAACAGACAGCAGTTGTTATTTCTCTGCATTTTTATGTGTATATACGAATGTGCACACGCACAGATCCAGGTCATCCATGATCTGCAAGGCAGGGATGATTATTCATTTCATTTTATGTACAGGTAAGAAAATTATGGCAGGCTACGTGACCTTTCCAAAGGTGGGTAACTCATTACCACATAAAACAGAACTGAAATTCTTTTTCCTCCCAGTTCAGCGCTCAGCCCACTACAGCAGCCCTTAAAGATTTCCATGTTCAGGTCTCTGTTTTGTTACTGACCTACAATATGTACAGGGGGAGGGTCCTAACGTTACAAAGGATCTGACTGAGACACAACAAATGCTCCCATACTCTGAATATTAAGATAGGAACCAAGAGAGAACATATATTCCCTGGGATGTTAAGTTGCTTATATTTTTAAAAAATCACCGACAATAATTTTAGGGGCCTCTGCTTTGGAACACTGCATAAAGAACAGCCTGAAACTTCACTGCAATAGCTCAGTAGCAGCATACTTAATGCTCCTGATACTACTACACTAAAATGACATCTCCGTTTGACATGAGTCACCACCAAAGAAGCATGACTTTCTGTTACCAAGGACTTGGCCTAAATTAGAACCAATGCGTCAAGGATGGTAAAAGGCCCCTTGTATCCAATGAGAAAAACAACTTCTCATTTTCCCTATATAGGGAAAGTTTGTTAAAAATCCTCACCCACCAATAAAATGTCTTCCCACACAGAATGTTCAAAACCTCAGCCCCTGGAACACATGATAAAGACACTTCAGTGCACACGCCCTGCCAAGAACAGGAGGCAGGGCTGCTTCGCAACAGGAATAGCTGCTTTCTTCCCAGCAGTAAGCAGCACATGGGAGCACGAGGAGGAGAAAAGTAACTGCTGAGACGAACCTAAATTATTCAAAAGAACTACTGGCAAGACCAAGAGACACTAGGATCATTGGCAAAGCAAATGAGGTGAACATGGTCAGAGGAAAAAGCCATAATTTTGACAACACAGAGGAAAAAAAGGATAGAAGACGACAAAATGATTCTCTTAGCTTCACGCTGGTGATTACAGATCACCTCTCGGGAGCCAGATCTTGTCCTCAGTCAAAATGACGATAGTCAATGGCTCTAAGGTAGGCAGAGCAGAGCGATACCAGCCCTCAAGACTCTGGGACAGTCTGAGGTCAACAACCCTTCCTGTTTTCTAGCTCCACCTGTATATTTAGACCCTAGTGGTCACTTGTTGGATTTGCATATTCATCTAAACCTAGGGTATAGGTGGGAAAATACCAAATATTTTCCTTGTTTAATACCAAATAGTTCTGAAGTATTGTTTCACTGATTCCAAGCATCACTGCTGCTGTGCAGTCTAGCAATGAAATCGAAGAAATGGATTAAATGATGACCTCGCTCTTTCCAAGTCCTATTCAAAAACAGTTAATGTTTAATTCATAGGGCAGGAGTCTTATTTTTTATATGTATAATAATTCTGTAATTACTTTTAAAAATTAAAAATTATTATCTTGTTGTTGGCCCCCAGTTAGAAATGAATATAGAATACTGTAGTTAATCATATGCTAATGCCCAGAATGATAATTAGATCAAAATTTTTACTTTTAGATCTTAATATAGAGCCCCTGTCACTCATTCAGAGTAAAAACCTTAGGTCTGATTAACCTTAAGAAACTAGGACATGAGCTCTGACTTTTCTTCCTGTAAAGAGAAAATCAGTTCAAGAATCATCTAAGGATTCGCTCTCCAAGCAAATTTTCCCTCAAGAGATACACAGTGAAACACTGCCAACCCACTAAGAACCAAACGTATGGGAGTAATCCAGCTCCTGTTTCCTTTTTAGTCCATTGTTTTAATCACCGTATCCAGATTTTGTCAGCAAAAGTCTGCTTAGAGAGATGGTCCTGGTGTGAAGCTGACAGGCACTGGTAAATAAGCAAGCTAAAACTCACCTGCCAAATCCAGCGAGGGACACGCTTTCTAGAAAATTATAACTTAGGAGTTTCTCTACAGCACATCATGTTGCTCCACTAAAACCCTGAAGAGGGAGTTAGAACTACAACAGAATCCAATATTGTGGGTCAAGAAAACAGCTTAAAAGAACTTTAAGTAATGCCGGCCCCAGAAGAGAAGATCCGAAACAGCCCCTGAACTACAGGCCAAGGTGAGCTCAGCTAGTGCATTCGTGGTTGGAATTTCTGAGAAAACGGCATACCTCCCTGGCTGCTTTCTGCACAAACCGCTCATCAGTGACCCGGAAGGCCCGGCACAGGGCCTCTGCGGGATCGTGCGGGAACATCTCTTGGCGGACTAAATTAACGTGCAGGTGGATGGAGGCATAAATGGCAGCGTCCACTCCCCCATGGCCATCAAATACAGCAAAGTAGGCTTGTTCTTCTTGGTCCTGTCAGCAGAAAAACAGAAACTGTTAAGGAAGTGAGGCACAGCCTAACTCAAATGACCCAGTCCCTTGTACTGAGCTCAATCTCCTTCTCCGCTGCACCCGTCACCTAGACAAGGAGACAAGGTGCTTCTCTTTTTCGACATGCCTGATCGCCCGCTAACACACCTGCAGTACTAGGGCATCTGTGTTTACGCACACAACACTGCAACACAGCGTGGCCAATTAGCTCAGGCTGAAGTGCCCTGTCAGTGAAAGTTGTCGTCTTGTACCATGGAAACCGCCCACAGGCAGTTGCTTCAAAACTGCTGTTATAAGTTGTGGGAAGGATGAGGAGGAATTGAGCAAAAGCTTTTCTGGATTGCATATTTTTTTCAAAATGAAAGTATTCTAATAAAATTAGAAACTGAGAACAATAGGAAATAATTGGCCTTCAGCCCAAGACCAATTATGTTAGGTTGTTTAAAACACAGAGATAGGGGCGCCTGGGTGGCTCAGTGGGTTGGGCCTCTGCCTTAGGCTCAGGTTTTGACCTCAGGGTCTTAGGATCCAGCCCCACATTGGGCTCTCTGCTCAGCGGGGAGCCTGCTTCCCCCTCTCTCTCTCTCTGCCTACTTGTGATCTCTCTGTCAAATAAAATCTAGGAAAAAAAAATAAAAAATAAAATACAGAGATAATGAAAGCATACAGATACTTCTAAACTATAATATCTTCTTCATAAATCATAGTCACATTGAACACTCACTGTAAATAACAGAGTCTCTAAACTGGTTAGCCAAACTTAAAGCATATCAGATGTCCAAATGCCCTATAACCATTTTGCCTCATCCCCTAACTAAGATTTAGCTTCACACTTTCTGGGCCAGCCACTGCTTGAAGCACTGAGGCAACTGCCAGAGGAAGATCTTCTAAACCAATGGTGTCTTGACAAAGGAAGCCTAATCACAATATTACATTTAAGCCATTAAAGTAGTTTGCTTCTTTATCTTCACCTCCAGTGTGTACATCTCAGATCTAACTTACTTAGGAGATCTGTAGCTCACTGAACGCTCACTCGAGTCCTGGACTCCCTTTAGGCAAAGTATGTAATCATTTTCATGTGCAAGCTTTGACTTAATCCTTGGGCTCTAGGAACTGAGTCTAGGCCCTGTTATTCAAAGGAAATCAAATATACAAAGTAAATCAGGTAATTTTCTTGTGCTTTTTTCCTCATCTGTTAGCTAGGGATTTGGAAGAACTACTAAAACAACAGGTATATCTGTTTTGAAAAAATTCTTTTTAGGCACACGGGGGTGGCTCAGTTGTTTAAGGGTCTGACTCTTGATCTGGCTCAGGTCATGATTTCAGGGTCATGGGATCAAGCCCTGTGTTGGGCTCTGCCCTCAAGCATGGTCTCTGCTTGTCCTTCTCCCCCTGCTCCTCCCTCTCTCAAATAAAATCTTTAAAAAAAATATTCCTTTTTTTTTTTTTTTAAGATTTTATTTATTCATTTGCCAGGGAGAGAACACAAGCAGAGGGAAGTGGCAGGCAGGGGGAGCCCAATGCGGAACTCAATCCCAAGGACCCTGGGATCATGATCCGAGCTGAAGGCAGATGCCCCACCAACTGAGCCACCCAGGCATCCCAGAAAAAATTCTTTTTAAAGGGTATACTACATTTACAAAAGTACCAAATATAAATGTCCATAGAGTAAAAATACCCAAATATTATGAAATCAACATCTAACACAGACATTACAACTAGTTAATTAAACAGAACTATCTTGAAAAAAAAGTCCTGATATGGAGAATTTCTACCTATACTAAGGTAGTACTCATTTTTAAACAACTCAGTTGGCAGGGTAAGGGTAAAATTGAAAAACAGCATATCCAAGCAGTTTTTAAAATATTAAGTGAGCTGATGTGGGATCATCACAAAGAAGGAGGGAACAATAATACCTTTTTGAGGCCATGAGAGTATAACTTTAAACAATGTGAGATTGGTAGGGAGATTCTTAAACAATATAGCATCCAAAGAAACAGAAGACAGCCAAGTGGACCTCTTAAAAAAATTAGTGTACCTTTTAAATAAAAAAACAAAGTTTTCCCTGTTATAAAGATGATGTATTGTTTATTTGGACTAATAAAGAAATCTATATTATCCCACCATTCGTATATAACCAGTCTTTTTTCTACATATATAAATTTTTTAGATAAAACAAAATTGGAATTATACTATACATAAAATTTTAAATCCTTTTTGTCATTTAGCATATCATTAGCATTTCCCCCCATGTCATTATTATTCAGACATTTGAAATGAATATGTACTATATATCTTATGAGCATATTATAGTTACTCCCTATATAACTTTGATCATTTCTAGTTTATTATTGAAATTGTTATGTACAACATTTATGTCAAAACATATATGTAAGAATTTCCTGCATTTGTGTCCTTATGATATAAAATTAAGTGAAATTACCAGATCAACGGTGGTGAAAATATACAGGTTCTAAGTATGTGTTGCCAAATGGCCTTCAAAACTGTTTCTCTAAAGCAAGGTGTTCCTTTCTGAGTTAGGCCTTTGGGCTGATTTTGAAGCAAAATGAAAACCAACCAGATCAACGAACATTAACAATGCCCTCAGATCTGAGTATAATCTTCAAGTGGGTATAAGTGATAGAAGGATTGTTTGTCACATTAAAGTTCACCTTTAAGGTTACATTTGCATGGGCATGGTACCAGTTGGAAACAAGGATATTCACATATTCTAAAGGAATTTGGAAACAAAGCTGATCTATCTTTGCACCATAAGCACCAATTACCAACCTGCCATCACTGCTTATCAGACCCTGACAGTTAGCTAAAATTTAAATTTAGCTGCTAAATAAAGGAAATATTGTGCTTTGTATAAATTACTACATTGTAATTTTTAAGTTATGGACTTGAGTGAAGAAAAGAAGCAAGTGACAGGCAGAGGAAACAAACCTACCTCTGTTGGCACTAACAGAATACAGTTAATAGAAAAAGAAGAGAAAGATAACAAGAAAATGGTTATTAAGCTGACAGGGCTCATATGATCCAATTTGTCAGTCACAGAGATTCATGAAATGTAATTCCAGCTACTTTCCTTATCTCAGAAACTGAGATTTTAAAAAGAGAATCACAGTAAATCAGAAAACTGTCTCAGTCTTAAAGTCATCCTTTTATGTTTGTGTTTTACGTTGCTTCAACAACATAGTAATGTGGGAACTTAATAAACACCATCTGATTGTACTGTAGTTTCCTTTTAAAAAAACAGCTTTATTGAGGCATGGCAGTTTTCTTTGATGCTTATATGTTTATAGAATAGCTCTGGAAGTTTACACAAAAAAATAGTAACTTCCCTTGCCTTCATGGAAGGGAACTGAGTGTCCGAGACACAAGGACAAAAGAGAGATTTTTGTTTTCCAATCTGAACCATATGAATATATTACCTATTCAAATAATATAAAATCAGGGCACCTGGCAGGCTCAGTCAGTAGAGCATGTGACTTCTGATCTCAGAGTAGGCGTTCAAGCCCTACGTTGGGTGTAGAGCTTACTTAAAAATAAAGAAACAAACCAAAATAACATAAAATAGTTTCTTTTCTGTTGTCTGATGCAAGCAAATTTGTGCCCCTCTGCCTTCAGTCCTATTCCAAACCATCAGGATACTATTAGAGGTATATTAGAAGTTCTCCTTATAGAAAAATAAGACCATGAAGGTGTTTTTTTTTTAAATCTCATTGGCTCTTGAGAAGGGCCCTTTACCTCTAGATTGAAGAGCATATTAAAGTCAGGAATGCAGACATGTTTGTCTTCCATTTTCCTGCGCATGTTTTTGATGGCATGGATTGACGTCTCATAATACAGCTGGGGTCTCCTGCGGAGAGGGAAGTCTTTCACCCAGCTGCAGCAAATCTCGTGCAGTTTGCTGAAGACAGAACGGGCCAATTTCACTGTTTCAATCTCTGTGAAAGAAACACAGACACCCCCAGTGAAGAGCCTTGTAAAGCTGCTTTTCACTTGCCTGCTTGGTAAAGACAGAAGTAGGTCACCTTCATCAAGTTCCTGCTCAACAGAAGTTCCTCCTGAAGAGAAATGAAATGTTGCTTCTGAAGAGAGAAAATGACAACCAATCTAGTAGAAAATCATCACCCAGCAGCTGCCACTATGATATTCTTATGTCATGAGGAGAAAACCTCTGGCCAGGGTTGAATCTACTCCTACACTGGATTTCTTCCAACCCTCAAAGTTCTCTGAGCACTGGTTCCCTTTTTGTTGGTTGCCGTGGTTATCATCCGGAGAGCCAAGCTCCCTCTGCTTAGAAGAATGACTGAAGGGGGGCCTGAGGAGCTCAGTTGGTTAAGCATCTGCCCTTGGCTCAGGTCATGGTCTCAGGGTCCTGGGATCGAGACCCGCATCAGGCTCCCAGCTTAGTAGGGAGTCTGCTTCTCCCTCTCCCTCTGCCTGCTGCTCCTTCTGCTTGTGCTCTCTGTCAAATAAATAAATAAATAAGGTCTTTAAAAAGAAAATGAATGACTGAAAGATGAACAGTAGTTACCAACCAACTGGATTATGAAAGACCTATGAAAACATCATTTATTTACCAACTACAGGAATGAGAGTTTGATAAACTTTTTTTGTCTTTGTCTTTTTTCTGACCTCTTCCTTTACCTCCTTCCAATTCCCTAAAAGTTTTTGGCAATAGCTTAAATAGTTTAGCTAAAGGTTAGCAAATGTGGTAAAAGTTTTTTTAAAAGTCTCTAAGGAAAAAAGTACTTTTCTAAGGAAAAAAGTACTGTCAGGGGGCGCCTGGGTGGCTCAGTCGCTAAGCATCTGCCTTCGGCTCAGGTCATGATCCCAGGGTCCTGGGATTGAGCCCCACATCAGGCTCCCTACTCAGCGGAGAGTCTGCTCTCCCTCTCCCATTCCCCCTGCTTGTGTTCCCTCTCTCGCCATGTCTCTCTCTATCAAATAAATAAAATCTTTAAAAAACAAAAAAACTCTGTCAGGACGCCTGGGTGGCTCAGTGGGTTAGGCCTCTGCCTTCGGCTTGGTCATGAACTCAGGGTCATGGGATCGAGCCCCACATCGGGCTCTCTGCTCAGCGGGGAGCCTGCTTCCCCCCCCCC